AAAAAAAGAAGAAGAAGAAGATGTGGTCCATATACAGCCATCAGAAAGGATGAACACCCAACTTTTGCCTCAACATGGACGGGACTGGGGAAGATTTTGCTGAGTGAAATAGGTCAAGCAGAGAAAAACAATTATCATATGCTTTCATTCACATGTGGAACATAAGGAATAGTGTGGAGGACCACAGGGGAAGGGAGGGAAAATTGAAGGGGGAGAAATCAGACAAACCGTGAAATACTCTGGACTCCGAGAAACTATCTGAAGGTTTCAGAGGGGAGTGGGGGAGGCTATGGGGTGACCGGGTGACAGGCATTAAGGACGACACATGATGTGAAGAGCACTGGGTGTTATATGCAAGTAATGAAATACTGAACACTACATCAAAAAGTAATGATGTACCATACAGTGGCTAACTGAACACAATATAAAAAATGAAAAAATAACAATAAAAAATAAATTGGCTATTAAAAAAATAAAACAAGAACCCAATTAAAAATGAGCAGACACCCCACCAAAGAAGAGATACAGATGGAAAATAAGCATATGAAAAGATGCTTATTAAGGACTGCCAATTAAAACAACCATGAGATACCATACACACCTGGTAGGATGGTTGACGACAGCAAACGCTGGCAAAGATGCGCCCGGCAGAGCTCTCGCTCACGCTGGAAGGGGCGCAAGACGGCGCAGCCACTTTGGAAAACAGTTGGCCGGGCTCTTATATTATTAAACATGGTCTTACCCTACTGTCCAGCAATCACACTCCTGGGTACTTACCCAAATAAGTTGAAAACATAAATACACACAAAAACCTACATTTGAATGTTTATAGCGGCTTTATTCGTAATTGCTAAAATCTGAAAGCAGCCAAGATGTCCTTCAATAGACGAACAGGTAAATAAACAGTGATCCAACCAGACAATGGAATGTTACTCCATAATAAAAAAGAAATGGGCTATCAAGTCACCAAAAAGAGCTGGAGGAAACTTACATGCATGTTGCTTAGGGAAAGAAGTCAATCCGGAAACGGTCCATACCATACAACCCAATGATATGCCATAAAACTATAGAGAAGGCAAAAAGATCAGATGTCGTCAGGGTCAGGAAGGAGAGGAGGAGGGATGAGCACGCAGAACACGGGATCTTTAGGGCAGTAAAATGATTCCGTAGGACACCGTAATGGTGGATACACTGCATACTCATTTGTCAAAACCCACAGAAGGTATACTAGTCAGAGTGGGCCCTGATGTGAATTACGGACTTTAGCTAATATTAATGTACTAACATTGGCTCATTAAGCGCAACAAAGTTACCCCCCCCCCCCCACTAATGCAACACGGTACTAAGGACAAACCGGGGGAGGGGTAAATGGGAACTCGACTTTCTGCTCAGTTTTCTATAAGCCTAAAAGTGCTCCTAAAGTCTATTACTTTAAAAATCCTTTAAAATGTTTCCCTTGAAAGGAAAGGATGAAAGAGCAGGAAGTGTTAAAAGCTGGTTCTTTACTGACTTCCGGAGGACCCAGGAACCCTCAGAGCCACGCCCGGCCAGGCTCAGAGGACCTGCAGTTCTGCCCCAGAGAGGCAGGAAGCCCGTGTGGGCCAGGTTCCCAGGTGAGCGTGGGCAGGACTCAGGCCGGGGCTTACACGTGAACGTCACAGTTCAAAGAGCACAGTGTTCAAACTGAATGTTCGAAGAGCTGCTCTAACTCGTGCCCCCCATCTTTCTGGATGCCCATTTCGAAACCCAAACTTTCCTCAGGAAGGTCTCCAGACCAGGTCCGAGGCAGTCTTGTTCTGGTGTGACTTGGCGCGTCACAAAAGCAGCACAAGGAGGGAGTTGGGGGAAACCGGAGCGGGAGACGAACCAGGAGAGACCGAGGACTCTGAGGAACAAACTGAGTGTTTTGCCCCTCCCTGTCCCCGGTACACACTCCACACCCTCCCTACAGGGTGGCCCCGCGCTCACAGTAAACCGTCACAAGAGAGAGCAAGAAAGGAGGGGGACAGATGGCATTTCCTGCCGGTGGGAACGCACGCTGGGGCAGCCGCTCTGCAAAACAGCATGGAGGGTCCTCAAAAAGTTGAAAATAGAGCTGCCCTAACCCAGCACTTGCACTACTGGGTATGTACCCTAAAGATACAAATGCAGTGATCCGAAGGGGCACGTGCACCCCAATGTTTATAGCAGCAACGTCCACAATTATGCTGAGCAAAACAAGTCAGTCAGAGAAAGACAGTTATCATATGAGCTCACTCATATGAGCAGTTTAAGAAACAAAATGGAAGATCATAGGGGAAGGGACGGAGAATAAAAGAAGTTGAAATCAGAAAGGGAGACAAACCATAAGAAACTCCTAACTCTAGGGGCGCCTGGGGGGCTCAGCGGGTTAAAGCCTCTGCCTTCAGCTCAGGTCATGATCTCAGGGTTCTGGGATCGAGCCCCGCATCGGGCTCTCTGCTCAGCGGGGAGCCTGCTTCCTCCTCTCTCCGCCTGCCTCTCTGCCTACTTGTGATCCTGTCTGTCAGATAAATAAAATCTTTAAAAAAAGAAAAAAAAAGAAACTCCTACCTCTATGGAACAGACTGAGGTTTGCTGGAGGGGAGGGAGTGGGGGATGGGCTAACTGGGGGATGGGCATAAGAGGGGCACGGGGTGCGACTGAAGACTGACGAGTCACTGACCACCACCCCTGAAACCAATGGTCCACTATGGTAATTGAGTTTAAATAAAATAAAATTTTTTCAATTTACAACTTTCCGTATCACACGGATTGATCTGCGAATGTCGAACCAGACTTGCCTCCCAGGGATAAACCCACCTGGTCAGGGTAGAGAATCTTTTTTTTTTTTTTTTAAAGATTTTATTTATTTATTTTACGGAGACAGAGACCACAAGTAGGCAGAGAGACAGGCAGAGAGGAGGGGAAGCAGGCTCCCCGCTGAGCAGAGAGCCCGACGTGGGACTCGATCCCAGGACCGTGGGACCATGACCTGAGCCAAAGGCAGAGGCCCCAACCCACCGAGCCACCCAGGCACCCCGCGGATAATCTTTTTAATGTCCTGTTGGATCCTATCAGCTAAGATCTTGTTAAGAATATTGGCATCCATATTCATCAGGGATATTGGTCTGAAATTCTCCTTTAATTAAGAAAAAAAGATAGCATCCCCCTTCGGGGGGATTAACTACCTAATTCCTCATCTTGAGCTGATGCCCCGGGGCCCTCACCTGGGCCAACGTGGGGACAGGGAAGGCCCACCCTCTACCCCCCTGCGCAGAGGGGCCCCTGGAGAACGATTAGCTGAGGACACGGCACCAGGGGGTGGGGGTCGGGGGCAGGACCCACGGAGGAGCAGGAAGCAGAAGAGTCCGGTGGATACCCCCACTGGCACCCCTCAGGGTCGCCCATCCTGGGACCACCCATGGCCTCAGTCTCCAAAGAGAGGAGTCTACACTGAAGGGTGGAGGAGACGGCAAGGTCACTTCCGAGTCGGCGGCTGGTGGCCCGCCGTGGTTTCTGGCCATGCTGATCCCCATCCACGTGGCCTTGAGGGGTCACGCAGGGTCTCTGGGCCCTGGTGCCACAGAATATAAAGTTACAGGGTCTTTGCCTCCCTCCCTCCCTCCCTGCCCTGCCCCAGGCCAGCTTCCCCCTGCAGGGGACACCCGGGGTCTATGTCGCTATGAGCTCCAGGGCAACTCGCCATAATGACATGAAGTATTTCTAATGTCCTAACCCCTCTAGCAAAGCCATGAGCAGATGTCACGTAGACATTTCAATTCACTGTCTAGAAAATAACTTCACGAAAGCACAGACTTCAGAAGCGTCGTTAGCTACAGAGGACGGAGTGTGCACGTCAGACAGAGAGTATACGGGACCCCCACTGGGGGGGGACACGGCCCCTCAGCCCACTGGGCCGGTCTTGGCCGGCACCTGTGGGCACAGCTCTGCTCTGGACGCTGGGCTACCATGGGGAGTGAACACTCACCAGAAGCCCTGGGCAGGGCTTCTGTCGGTTCTGCCTGGCCCGTGTGTGCGGTGGAAAGGGGGCGACGGTCATGCCTGCTGCGTGTGGGGACGGCAGTAACAGCGGCATCTCCTGAGCACTCGCTCCCATCAGACCCTGTGCTGAGCACTTTGGCCGCACTGAGTCATGCACCCTCACGGCTCATGACACGACAGTCACAGTCTCCATTCGTAGATGAAGACCCAGACGTCAGAGTCCTTCGACTTGTCCAAGCCATGCTGGCAGAGGCGTGGAGCCCAAGTAACGATGGGCTGTGGGCCAGACCAGGCCTCTCACAGAGGTTCTGGACCCGGAGGACGTCACGTGACTACACACTCAGAGGCCGAACCGAGCCCCCCTCCCTCCCTGTGACACCCGTGCCCCCCACAGTGCAGACCCCAGCAGGAGCCCTGGTGGGCATGCTCGGAGGCAAACCCACACACTGACTCCAGGTGGCTCTCAAAGGTTGCCAGGTTCCCGCAGCATCTCTCTGGATTCTCTGCATGGTCAAACGTCCCCCGCCACCAAGGAGGAAACACTCAGGACACCACAGGTGCTGGCAGTGGGGGGAACTCCACCCCTCACTAACAAGACAGCTATCAGCCCCCAAGACCCAGACCAGGCTGGGGGCCCACGGGCTGGTCTGGTGCCCAGTACTTGCTGGGTGGTGACTACTGGCAACTTCATGCGGCGCTTCTTCTGGGCGGTGCGTCCCCACTGCTCTTCCAGAATCTGGGTTTGGAACTCCAGGGGCTGAGCGCCCCCAGACAAGACCTGTGAGAGGGGTGGGAACCCGGTGAGGCCAGGATGGGATGGGGGGCCCTCCACACTGACAAGCACCCAGCCCAAAGCCCCCTGCCACCCCAGAGCCCCTGACCACCGTGTGATATCAGGGTGCTGTTCGCAGTCCGGACAGAGACGATGATGCTGAGAACTGGTTCCCACACAGGGGACGGCCAGATGGCCCGATCCTGCCCGTGGGTCTCCCAGGGGCTCACTTCCCCTGCACCCACCTCCACAGAGCCTCCTTGACGTCCTTGTTCCTCAGGGTGTAAATGAAAGAGTTCAGCGCCGGAGTGACCACAGTGTTGAGCACGGTGACCGCCTTGGTCAGGTCCAGCGAGCTCTCCACCGAGGTCCTCACGTGCAGGAAGACGGTGGACCCGTACCAGAGGAGGACCACAGCCAGGTGGGAGAAGCAGGTGGAGAAGGCTCGGCGCCGCCCGGCTGCGCCGGGGATCGCGACGATGGTGACGATGATGCAGGCGTAGGAGACCAGCGTGATGAAGCAGGAGCCCAGGATGACGCAGAAGGCGATGCCGAAGGACACCAGCTCCACGACGCGCGTGTCGCCGCAGGCCAGCACGATCCAGGGCGCGATGTCGCAGAAGTGGTTGATGACGCGGGAGCCGCAGAAGGAGAGGCGCGCGACGAGGGCGGCCGGCAAGCCGAAGGCGGAGAAGCCGCCCAGCCAGGAGCCCAGGGCCAGGCGCGCGCAGCGGCCGGGCGTCATGAGGCTGCGGTAGCGCAGCGGCCGGCAGATGGCCAGCGCGGTCGTAGGCCACGGCGGCCAGCAGGAAGTACTCGGCGCAGCCCAGCGCGAAGACGAAGTACCTCTGCGCCGCGCAGCCGCCCAGGGACATGGCTGAGCCGCGCCGGGCCAGCGTGGCCAGGGTCTTGGGCGCGCAGGCCGTGGTGAACCAGATCTCCAGGAAGGAGAGGTTGCACAGGAAGAAGTACATGGGCGCCTGCAGGCGCCGGTGCGCGCCGACCAGCGCGATGATGGCCAGGTTCCCGGCCACCGTGAGCGCGTAGGCGACCAGGAAGAGCGCAAAGAGCCCCGCGCGCAGGCCCTGCGGCCCCGGGAAGCCCAGCAGGATGAACGGCCCCTGCGCGGAGAGGTTCCGGCCGCCGCCCCAGGCCATGAGCCGCTGTTGGGACACAGGCCACCACGGGCCAGTGAGAGAGACCTCCCACCCCAGGCCCCCACCGGAGGCCCAGGAACGGAGGGGCCGCCCTGTCCCCCCCTCTCCGGGTCTCCTCACCTTGTCTATGTCCCAGGACTCCAGCCAGGCCTAGGGTCCCGGTGCGTGCCAGCGAGTGGACCGGGGACCTCGCCCTCTCGGGGGAAGTGGCTCAGGACACTGGACCCAGGTTATCAGTTGCTGGCTACCTGGGGAGGGGGGGACATCTCCTCATTCTAGACTCTGTCACCTGGGGAGGGGAGGGTCCTTACTCTAGACTCAAGAAGACTGGGAAAGGACAAGAATTGTCAAGTTTTCACAAATGAAATTATGTATGTCCCAATTTTTAGCATTTTCTTCCAACAAACCAGATTGATTCCTAGTGAAACATGCTTACCTATCCACTCCTCACCACACACCCAACACAACTGAGGCAGGAAGCCCATGGGGGGCCCTGCTCCCCTTGCCTGGGGCTGTCACCCTGGATTGTTAGCTGGAAACCAGGCATCCCGCGGGCCCTGAAGTGTGAAATTGCCAACAGTCACATGAGCAGTGCCCCCTCCTGGCTGGAAGCTGGGGATGGCACTGTTGTGGGCGGGTGGGGGGGACCTCCTGGAGGGGAGGGATGCTGGAGGGTGGCTGTCTATAGAGGAGGGGAGGGGCTGTGGCACCAGTGAGGATGGGGGTTAGTGGGAGCTGAGCTCGGTTCCCTAGAGCCCAATCCCTCCCAACCAGGGCTGGACCCTGCCCGCTGGCCACTCTGGGCCAACAGGCACCTGAGGAGGGTCCGAGGGGTAGCTGGACAGAGGCTGGCAGTGACCCCACGAGCGTGGAGCCCAGAGCTCGCAGCAAGGCGGGAGGGGCCCAACCGGTGACGGCTTCTCCCAGACAGTGTCCAGACGCTGGACCCACTCCAGGAGGGTTGCCCTCAGGAGCCGCGGAACCCTGTGCACTTTTCTGCCTGCGCCCATCCTCCCCCCTGCCAAGCACAGGTGCACACATCACACACAGTCACACGTTGGTCACACACCACACACAGAGTCACACACCAGTGCACACACCACTCAGAGTCACATACTGGTGCCACACATGAAGTCACATGCCAGTGCACACACCACACACAGAGTCACACACCTGTCACACGCCACATACGGAGTCACACGCTGGTGCACACACCACATACATACATGGGCACAGCGTGTACACTCATGGGCCTGGGCTTACCTATGTGTGCACACTCACTACCTGATCGAGCCCCAGGAACACTCATCCTGGTTCCTGATGGGCTGGGGGTCCCTTGGCTGATTCCTTTCCCACAGTGCAGTCAGCAAAGCTACCCTTAACAGTGCCGGCCGGTAACAAAATAAGCCACGCTCTAGCCACACCTGCTCTGAGCCCCGGCCTTGTGTGGCCATGTGCCATGAGCATTCAGGCAGAAAGCAAAGCCCCAGCAGGGGAGACAGACCAGTCCCCTGCCTGTCCCAGGTCCTAGGAGTGGGGCCGCTGTGAGCCATGGCTGGCCTGGAAGAAGCAGGCTTTTGAGCAGGGTCCCCATGACTCTGCTTCCGGGGGACAGAATGCCCTTCAGCTGCAGCCTTCAGATTTACCAGGACACAGACCGCTGCCCGGGCTGCACTGGGACCTGAGTCCACCGCACCGCCCACGAGCACTGGCCCCTGCCAGCCTAGCGCTCTGCCTGGGGTGTTGGGTCCTGACCCAGGGAACTGGGGCTCCTTTTCTTAGCCTTGACTCCAGGATGAGCCTCATTTAGAAAACCATTTTCACTGTTGAAGATGACTGTTACAAAGACGAAAAAGAGGCCTCCGCAAGCCCTGCCCTGTCCAGCTTTCTCACAGTTCTGCAGTACTGACTTTCCCCTTCCTCCCATGTGCCTGGAGATGAGGACGGCTGGCCTGCTTCCCCTGTGCCTGGTGTGCAGGAACAGCAGACCCCAGCTGTGCAGGGTGAGGACCGCCCAGATCCTACGGAATCCTGCACACCTTGCAAGGGGTCCCGTAATGAGGCCATGTTGAGGCCTCCCCAGGTGGTCCGACTCCTTGTGGGGGACAACAGGGGTGGGGGAATCAACCTGTCTTGGGAGAATCCACTTGCCCAGGTCAGCTTGGGGGGACATAGCATGGTTGGGGTCACTCACCAAAGGGGTATGAGCAGGTTCCAGGATGCCCCCCTAAAGCAGCCAGGAGACCAGGAGGATGAATGTGGGATGAGCCCAAGGACCCTCCAGGTGGGGCTGTGTCACTGGGAGGGGGCACTCCCTGTGGCCAGCTGACCCTGTGACTTGCCAGTGAGGGACTCCTGTGGGCCAAACCGCTTGTTTCCCACTGCCTAGCTCCTGGAGACATAGCAACAGCAGGAGTGGGGGTCATGAGCCGCGGGGGACCTGCTAGAGCACTCATGTGGCTCCAGCACATCCACGGCACTGGCCAGGAGGCAGGTTTTGGCTGGCCCAGGAAGATGGCTTGGTCATCCACCAGCACTAGACCCGAATGCAATCTCCCAGCCCCAAGTGCGCAAGACTGCTCTGCCCAGGTGACCTGGACTCTGGTCATTCAGAGTGGCCAGCACTGGCCAGTCCAGCACAGACCCCAGAGCACAGGAATGGATGCTGCCCCAGCCCCCCTACCATGGGAAGGAGCTCAGCGGCACCTCTGCCGTTGTCCTGCGCCCTTGCCTCCGACTGTGGCCAGGCAGTGCCCTCTACCTCCTCTCTCCCGGGACAGTGTTCCACCAAGCCCTGCTGGCCATCAGCTAGCGTGCAGCCCCTGGCACTCCAGCTCACAACCCAGGCAGCAGGTGCCCCTGGTACAGGGCAGCGAGGGGGGTCCGGCACCCTGGATAGCTCCCCCTCCCCCACCTGCCCACCCACCAGGGAGGAGAGCAGACGGTGAGCCCTTGGCCCCGTAGGCAGCCCTCTGACACGCAGGTTCCTTCTTCCCTCACACAGTCTCCCTCGGGCTCAGGCCTGCAAGGACCCTCTTGTTAATTATGCAGCCGGCGTAAGACTGGCTCTAGGGGCTGGTGAGGGCCCCCAGGGTGGTCCTGGGCAGCGACCAGCACCCTAAGCGGGTCCTCTTGCCCTTAGGCTGTGCCTGGCAGCTGTTTCTCACCCACAGCTCAAGGGAATCTTCTCCAGGGCCCAGCCCCCCGCCAGCCTGTCTCCTGGGGCCATGCCTGACACAGAGTGCCCGCCCCACGAGAGCACCTGGGGCAGTGGCGCCCGTGCACCCCAGGGCAGGTTCCAGCTGCGCACTGAGTTTTCTTGGCAGGCGCCCTGTGCCTCAGTTTCCCCCTCTGTAAACAGGGGGTTTGCTACAGGTCAATAGGCAAAGTGCAGGCTGCCCTACTCCCCAGCCCCACCAAGCTTTCTGGAAATAGCCCAGCTGGGGCCGTTTGCTGCCGCTGCTTCCCTAGCTGGGGCCTCCAGCCGGTGAGGACAGGAGGAAGACGATCCATGGGGGGAAGAGCAGCGGTCGGCAAGGTGGCTTTGAGCAGAACCCTAACCTCCGGACTCTGCCAGCATCAACTTCGGGGACCTCGAGACGGGTGGGGTGCATCCGGGGTTTGTGGAATTGGGCTCCTGGCCATGGGCCGGGCTGCACGCCGGTGGTCCCTGAGGGCCTGGGCCTCCGAGGCAGGGACTCAGCTGCCCGGGGCTGGCATCCCAGGAGGCGGAGGGAGTGTGCTCCCCACAAGCCTCAGCCTGTTTCCCTCATCGGCATTGGCCAGAGCGGATCCTACCAAGGCCCCAGGGACAAGGGGCACCGTGGCAGGCACACGGTGTGCAGACCCCTGCCGGCCTGCTCCAGCCTCGAGTGCTACCCTGCCCTGGGGCTCCAGCACCACCGTGGGGCCACTGCCACACGGGTGTCTGGGCTGGGCTGCCCCTAATTGGGAGCTCGTTAAAAATTGGTGGAGGGTCTCCCCTGAGGCAGGACTATTGCCTCGTCAATTAACTCCCCAATCAGGGGCTGCTATGGATCTGGGAAAACACGGGCATCTGTTTGATTCCATAAACACTATTTTTCCAAATATAACTTCCAAATATAGGAATTTGGAAGATATACAAGAAAGACTGTCAAAGCACGGATCCGCGTGGAGACCTGCTGTGTCCTCCACTCTCTGCGGCTGTGTCTCCCCTGGCACCCTTGTGAGCTCCTGTTTCTGTTTTCATCATCAAGGTGTGGCTGACATACAACACACACACACACAGTACACACCTTCATGTGTCTGAAGACATGCGTACAGCCCTGCCACAGTCACCAGAAATGCCACCGTCACCTCTGAAAGCCGCCCTCCCACAGGAGACACCCCCGGCTGGCACCACACACCAGTCTCGTATGGGAGTACACAGGAGAAGCAGACCCCCCGCTTCTCTTACAAACCTACACTGACCCAAAGCTTTTTCAAATTTCTGACGATTTCCTCATAGTAGAGGAAGGGCAGTTCGAATGTTACTCCCCATGGAGAAGACCACTCTAGAGGTGACAAGGCCCAGGGGCTTGTGCCCAGAAAGGCAGAACCAGACCGTGAGCTGGGGACCCTCTCTTGGACCCCTTTCTCCATGAAGGCGCGATGGTCTCCTCCAGCTTCCTCTGCCAGGATCAAATGGGATAATGGGTGCCACAGGCTCGTGAGAAGGGGTTGATTCTGGGTTCCTCAGGGGTAGACATGGATGCCCTCACAGACTGAAAACCTGAACATGGCATTAAAACGGGGCTTGTCCTGACTCCATTCCGACTGAGACAATGCAGGGACAGAAATCAGATACCAGACTGAAGGCCCAGAAGGAATGTAGATTTCCAGCTGGTGCGGGGAACCCAGTCTGCTAATGGGCCTTCTGCCCAGCTGCAGGGTCAGTAAAGGGGAAGAAAGAGACTCCAGGGCAGAGTTTGTGCAGACATTTCTTTGAAGACGGAGGGGTCAGCCTCCAGTTGCTTCCT